GGCCTTTCTTGAGCGGCGACAGCAGCACCACGGGCAGCCGCAGCCTGCGGGACCCGGGGCTCGGGGAGCTCTCGGGGTGCCGCGTTCCGGGGCAGCAGCACACGACCCGTTCCCGATGCCGGGTTTTCGGAGCTGTGGCAGCTCCGGGCACAGCTGGACGAACAGGGTTCGGAAGCGGCGCGCTCCACGAATCGTCTCGTAACGTCTCTCCGTGCTCTTGACTCGCTGGGGACGCTGCAGGCGGGCGGCTGGTTTCCCCTGCGCCAAAGGAGATTTCGCAGCCATTTCTCAGTTGTCCGCCTACGCCGCAGAGCCCGGGCTACGCTGCAGGACACGCAGAGCCCAAACCCCGCTGCACGAGCCCAGGCGCCCAGCACTCGCAGCCAGGAGCAAGGCCGAGTGCCGCCGGCGCAGGGCACAGTCTCGGGGCGGAGCTGGCGGCGGCGGTGGTGGGGAGGAGGCGGCGCGGGCGGACCAGAGTCGGGGCTGGCGGGGGCCAGAGCGGGGTGCGCCCGCTTCTGGACCATTGGCTTCTTTCCGACCTCGTGCACCTCTCTCCTCCTGCATGAAATTTCTGTGGAAGAAAATGGATTTTCTGAGTTTGCTGCTGCTTCTCTTCTCGGCAGTGGCTGTGAGCAGAGCCCAGGTGCAGCAGGAGCCGGTGGCAGAGACCAACGAGGGCATCGGCATCAACATCACCTGCTCACACCCCAACATACAGCCCGACGGGTACATCCATTGGTACCGTCAGCTCCCGGGCCGAGGACCCGCATTCCTCGTCAGCGCCGTTAAAGGCTTTAAGCAGGTGCCGGACCCGGAGGGGCAGCTGTGGGTGTCGGCAGACCGCCGCTCCAGCGTCCTGCGGCTCGCCCGGCCCCGGCTCGGGGACGCGGCGCTGTATTACTGCGCCGTGGGCGCACGGGAAGCGAAGCCGGAACTGCGGCCGGGCACGAACCGCTTGGGGCGGGGCGGGGGCGCAGTGCCGTCCGGGCCCGCAGGGGGCGCTGCCGCTCCTCCCTCCCGGCGCCGCCGAGCTGGCAGTGCTGACATGGAACGCGTCCCTCGCACCGCTCGCATCCCACGGATTCACTGTTTCCAGCTGCACACCTTCATGAGCGTTGAGTTTATGTGCAGGTCTCACAGACACCTTCATGTGATCTCCTCAGTGGCTCTGTTGAGAGTATGAGACTCTGTGAGAGGATTCAGGGCCTCTGGCAGGGAGGTGTGGATTCAGCTGAGGCCACTGTAAGATGCGTTGGCTGTGAGGGCTACTGGCTCATGAAGCCTGTATCCATGTATCATGAATCCACATGAAGTGGATCAAGTCCCTTCTCAATTCAAAGAGAATTACAAGAAAAAAAAGGTGATACCCGAAGTGCAGAATGACTCTCATCTCTAACCCAATAGGAAGACAGAGAGTGAAACTGTACCTCTTCAGCCCTTCATTGATGTGCCATTGGGGAACTCCAGGTGTTAGGGAATTGTGAGAGTGGGCTGCACAGGAACAAGGGGATGCACTGCAGAGAAAAAGGACAAAAGTTCCAGTCAGTACACCTGCTTATAGGGATGAGACCTGCGCCTGATCACCACAGCCCATACTTTCTCCTTACTAAGTCTTGACTTGTCTGTGCAGCATTAAAACTCAGCACCCTAAGGTCTAGGCCAGTAGAAGCAGAGAGTGGTGTGCAGGAGAGATCTGGGTGCCAGCAACCAAAACAACATCCACAGCACATCAGGATTAAACCAGTGACTGGGAGGAAAGAGTATTCAAGTCTGGGAGAGAGATGGGTAAGAAAACAGAGCCAGGGAGAGGAGGATTGGCAGGCTGAGATGCCATGGCAATGTCTGAGGGATGAGCATGAGTGTGGGGATGTGTGTGAGAGGAGTGGGTGACTGCACGCATCTGTTGGCCAGCAAACAGCAGGCTGGCCAATCCTGAGCAAAGGAGGAGACCCGCATGCAGGGTAAGGGATGCCAGGCTCCAGGCAGGGGTATTGGATGAGCTGAGGGCCCATGCTCACACTGATGGGCTGTGACTGTGGGAGTGCTTGTGAGCCAGTGGGTGAAGGTGTGTGCTTCCATGGGGGATCTGCAGTCCTGATTAGCCAGAGAGGAGGAACAGGGCTTGGCTCTGAGCTTCGGGCTTATAAGAGAACTGGCGTTGTTACCTGTGGGTGTTGCTATGGCAGTGAGAGCCAGCAGAGTCATTTCCGGCAGCTCTGTCGTCTTGGGGCTGGGAGGTGGTTTTCTGCCTCTTGATCACTCACAAACAGGAGGCTCGGTCTCAGCATGCACCGCAGCTCTCTCATCCTCACTGCCTTCCTGGGACAACTGCTGGGTAAGTGCTGGCTTTTAGTCAAGGCATCCATCTTCTCCCCACAAAGCGCTCACCAGCCTCACTGGGCTTTGTGGCAAACAGCTCCTGAGTAACAATAAACCTTGGGCAAATACTGACTGGCTGTTGTGGCTTTGCACCACTTCTCTCAAGATACTGCTGCTGTTGGAAATGACAAGGGCAGATGGAGAAGAGAGAACTCAGAATCCTCTCCTGCTTTTCTTTTCCCTTCTCTCTCTCTCTCACTGCCTTTCTCTTCTGGCCCAACAGCTGCCACCTCCAGAGATCGCAGCCATTCCTGCAGTCCCACATTTCAGCCTTTCCAAGAGAAAGAAGCAGATCCTGTCAAAGTCACAGCAGTGACATTAAACATCTCATAAAAACAGCATTAAGGGGATGTCCCAGTCTGACTGCTGCCTGATGCATTCTTGCCATAGCCTCTGGTGTTCTCCTGGTTGTCAGCACAGCCAGAGATCACACTTGTCACCATTCAACTCAGCTTTGTTTATACCGAGGGACTTAGGAGCCCTTTATGTTGACAGGACTGAAGAAACAGATGCATCTTTTCCAAAAAGCTCCATGGGTCCCTCAACCTGCACAGCCATGACAGCTGTTCCATGTTCCTCTCAGCAGGGGTGCAGCATAGGATCTCCTCTGCCCACAAGCACAGAGGTCCTTCCAAAACCATCTTCCTATGCACAGGAATCAACAGCTTTCTGCTGGACAAAGGACAGGGAGCCTTCTCTCCAGCTGCTTTGTATCCTCTCCATGTTGGCAGCCTGGAACCTTCCCTGCAGAGCTGCTCACCTTTGCTTTCTTCTTCCAGGTGCTGTGGGGCAGACCATTGTCAGCCAGCAAGAAGGACAGGTCACAGTGCAGGAGAGAAACACCTTCCAGACCACCTGCACGTACCAGGCCTCCAGCTTTGATGCTTTTCTTTGGTACCAGCAGAAGAAAGGCCAAGCTCCCCAGCTGGTCACACATCAGGCAGCAGCAGGCTCCAAGCAGAACGGCCGTTTCACCACGTGGCTGAACACCACCGGGAAATACAGCCTGCTGCGGCTGGCAGAAGTCGAGCTGTCTGACAGTGCCTTGTATCTCTGTGCTGTGCAGGACACCCTGGTGCAGGGAGCTTCCTTGGCCGTGCAACAACCCCAGGGAGGGAGGAGGTGTGTGTGCTGGAGGCGGAGCTTTGGGGAAGGGGCCCTCAGCTCTCCTGGCAGCGCTGCTTCCCTGTGCACACAGAGATCTGCAGCCCAGGTTCCTCTTCCGGAAGGGACCGATAGCTGTGGCTTGAGAGAACTAAAAACGACCAAGGAGACCGTGGCCTCTTTGTACACCCTGGAGAACTCAGTTTTTGCAAGGGCTGTGCAGATGACACATGCTGCATTGTGATTAGTGTGCTCTGCTGTGCACTGAGGGGTTTAAGCAGGTGGTCTGAAACTCACCTGAGCTTTGCAGTCCCATGCAAATTGCTTCTTTGTTCTCTGTCATTTGCCCAAAGTCCTGCAGGTTGGGCCTTCTCAAAGCATCCCTTTCTGGAGATTCACAATGATGCTTTTACACTGCTTCAGTAAGAACTTCCTTCCCTAAGCTCCATGTGGAAATCTCAGATATAGAAGGAGCACAGGAGATGATGCATGGTTTTCTTATAGTTACTCTTCCACACGAATGCTTTTCAAATGATGAAAGACTCTGTGAGTCCTTACATTACCATGTATAGTCCAGGCCTGCCCTTTCATTCCTAGCAACTTGAGAACACCATGAAAAAGGTCTTGTGGAGGCTGAGGATGGGATGCAGGTAACAGTGGCTCTGAATAGAGAAATGAGTTTTCTTCCAAAGGGAGATATTGTATGGGCAGCACCAGAGTGCCAATATTCCGTGCACATCCGCTCTGGTGAAGATACTAAAATGCATCCATCCATCTGATCTGTATCACACAGGTTGGCTATGGGGAAGTTATACACTCAGAAGAAGGGAATACAAGGAAAGAGAGAAAAGCATAGTAAATGGGTAACTTTGCACTAAGCATGGGGGACACTTCCTGCTACAGTAGTGCCTGGAAATGCAGGATAGATCAAAACAGCCATACGTGATGGAGACTGCATCACAGCTGAGGATGTGATCAGTTGCTGCAGAGATGGAGGATCCTACAATTGTGTTCTGTAGGTGTGAGCTGTGGATGAGGCTAAGCAGGGCTGCAATTATGGGAAGGGGTTTAATGATGACGGTATGATTTTTACCACGCCTTACATGGGTTACTTGCAGTGTTTGCCTGGTGAGGTCATACCATAGGGTGGGTATGGCAGGCCCTGGTCATAGCAGGGCATGTCTCAGAGAGGTAAGAGGGTTTCTTGGCTTCATCCAGACAGGACACTTTTTAGTTCATTTGTTGGCTCTGCACTGCCCTTGGCCTGGGGTGAGCATTCACAGGAGTGACCATTCTCCGTAGCGCATGCAATGAATGGAAAACATCCCAGCTAATGATACGGGCTGTGTGGCTGTTTCCACTTACGCTGCCTTTTCATTTTCTGGACTCTGTTGCACCCATTCCCTCAAAGAAGCTTCTCCTGAGTGCTAGGAGTGAGAGGCCTCAGGATTTCTAGGCCAGGTATGAGACAGAGAGATAAAGTCAGGAGCAAGAAAAAATCTGTACTTCAGAGAGTGTAATTTGTAGCTCACTTCCAGGAAGGGTCATGAAGAATGGCAGAATGAATGCCTGGAGGAGGATGGACAAATTTTTGTATATCTGTGTCTGTGGAACAAGTGCAAGAGAGAGCAGGTGGAGAGAGACTGATAGCAGCAATGATCAGCAGAGGCCATGAGAGCACCATGTAAGCCAGGAAAAGGCATCCTGTGTGAAGTCTGCTGCTGGTCTTATTGAGCTGGAAAACCTCCCTCTGACATCACCTCCTTCTGAAAGCACAGGGCCATGGCAAAGGAGAACAGGACTTTTCTGATTCAGTGCATTCTCCTGGGCTCAACAGAGCATCCCAGCTGTCACATGCTCCTGTTTCTCATTATCTACTCCACGTATCTCCTAATCCTGGCCTCACCTTTGTCACAGCAGGGAGCGATCAGTACAGGAGAGATCAAGCGGATCTCAACATGGTCCTTATTGCTTGGGTGCAGGCTGGGTACCAGTGAGTTTCTACTGGGATGATGGGGCTGGCCTGTGGGGATCCCGTCAGGCTTTATTCTGGGCTTTATGGTTCCTGTTGTCAACATCATCCTCACACTATGCTTTTAATGGTGGTTTTCTACATCTGCATCACCTCCACAGTTCTCCCTATTCCCTCTAATTTCACTCACCAGAAGGCATTCTTCATCTGTCCCTGCCATCTTGGCACGGTTCCGTATCTAACAGAGGCCAAGGTCAGATCCAAGCATAGCCTACCAGGAAGCTCCATCCCTTGAATGCCCTGGACCTTCAAGGAGCCTGGCAGGGCAGGAGGAGAGCAGTAGGTTGGGCCATAGACACATAGACTTCCAACACAGCAAAGGGAGAGCAGTGCTACTGTGTAGAAATGCCTGGCCAAGGACCAGGACAGAGCTCTTCTTTACGGTTACGCTGGGTTATGGTGGGCTCAGAGGGATTGGGAGCTCCAATGTGTGGCCTTCTGTAGCTCGTAGTAATAATGCCCTATGAAAGCCTCAAACACGGGCAGCTTTGCAATAGTATGGCAGGGCCAGGAGCACTGCAGAAAGGCTGCTAGGGCCACACAGGGAAGCTGCACCCTCAGGGAAGGGCGAAGAAGGGATGTGAAAGTGGAATAGAGACAGAGACCCCAAGGAAACTATGCCTTCCCAGTTCTTGATGGCCTTTGGAAACACCTTTCCTTGAGTCTCCTTCCCCAACTCTGGTCCTCCCAAAGTCACAGGAGTAGATTTCCTCAGAGTGTGTGGAACTTCTGGCTTCACAAGGCCTCTCCCATGCACAGAGAACCTCTCCTGAAGATTTAATTTATCAGGCTTTCCATTCACATGACATGCTCAAGGGTCAAGGAGACCTGTGTAAGGAGAAACACATCAAAGCAGGGACTGATGGTCATTGGTGGTAGAGAAATATCTAGGAATATCTTCCCCTCCTTCAAAAGCATGTGGCTTGAAAAAACAATGGTTTGCACTGTGCACTGACCTCCAAATACCAGGAGAATGATGGAGTCTCCCTAGCTGCTTCTCACCAAAAATATCCCCTTCTCCTTTGGTAATCTCTACATTTATGGGGAAAAAAAACTAACAACTCAGATGGAAACATTAAAGGATGCAGAATTGTTTAATGAGTCTGAGGAGAGAAATGATGTCACCCCAAGCAGAGGCCCTGCGTGCAGTGAGCAGCAGGAGCAAACAAGAATCTGTTTCCATTTCCTATGGCAGCACTGCCACAGAACTCTATCTCCCAGCCCAGGTGTCTGGGGTGATGAGCGGGTCACTCAGGATTCACTTTGAGGGATACTAACAGACAACTCTAAAGGGAACAGGAAAAAAAAAAAAAGATATTAGATAGAAAAAGTGAGAAAAAAAAAGAGTATCAGTAGACTCTCTCCATGTCGACAGAGAGGCCATAATGGCCACTACATCTCTGTCTTGATGGACAGAAACAGCAACACAACATTTGTTCTTCTGTCCAGTGCCATGTTCAGCATTCCTGGAGGTCCTTGCCTGGGTCAGCATCCAGCACCTTTAGCAGGGGGGGCACCTTCTGCCACAGCTGCGGTTGGAAATGCAGGAGAGGTCAAAGACCCCCGAGGTGATGGGCACGCCCTCAGAGCTGAGGATGCGGCCAACAGCAGCGGAGGTGGAGGAGCCCACGGCGGTGTACTGTGGGAAGGAGCTGAGGATGGGTCCGGGCAGGGTCACCACCACGGGAGAGGGCTGGATGACGATGGTGGAGTTCTGGCACTGCCTGACACAGGGCTCATTGCAGCTGCTGGCCAGAGGGGTCGGGCCGCAGGGCTGGCATGGCACACATTGGGTGTAGCAGGACATGACTTGGGACTGGAGGTGCACCTGGGAGAGAGGGATAGAAGGAATTAGAGCACGAGGATATGTGAGGGACGGCCAGGGCAGCCTCTCCCAAAGGAGACAAGGGAACTGCTACAGCTGGAGGATAAGGCTGAGAAAGGAGGTCACATCCCTTCAGCATGCCAGGACCCTACGATTAGTTGTCTGACCCAGGGAGACTCTCTTTGAGTGCACAAATCTACAGCCATGTCAGCAGTGTCACAAGCACTCCCTGAGCAGACATTATGACCTCTATGGTCTCCCATGGCATGGAGATCCACTGTCTATTTAACATATATGAACATATATTTAACATATATGGGGGGTGTATTTCTATTGAGACAAGAGGAGAAGAGAGGGTTTCACACTTACCTGGTTCCCAGCAAGAGGCAGGCAAGAGAAGTGGATGGGAGAGCTGGGAACTGGGCTGCCTTTTATATTGGTCCTTCATTGCTGCAGGTCCAGAGGCACAGTTGACAGAGGCACTAATTTTCTGACTAGGTAATCTTCAATGCAAGCTGTCCCTTCTCATTATGTGGGCTGGTTTTTGATTTCCTGCAGTGCTACCTGTTCATTTCCAGATTTATGACGTGCCCATTCTCTAATGAAGGATTCTTTAAATGCTGTGATTAAAGGCTCACAGTGCACATTGCATTGGTGAAGCTGATGCCTCAGCTCAAGTGCTGATCAGTCTGGAGGAAGTAAGAGAAGTCAATCTGGTTCAGTGCAGGGGGACTGTCATGGTTTTATGATTTTGTTATCCACAATATGTGTTCCACATCATAACATCATGCAGTGCACTGGGTGTTAAAGAGTTAATTCTGTAGTTTCGAGGCAACCGTGATAGTTCTGTTACCTGTCTCATAAGAGAAGAATGAACAACAGCTCCCAGAAGACTTCACTGTTCCATTACCATTTTTCTGGTCAGAGGATAAAACTGCCTGGGTGTAACTGGTCTGTTTCTTTTTTTCTTCAACAAAGAGAGGTGCAAAAAATCAAAAGCAGACCAGTCCAGACTCTTGGTAAGTCTAACTATAAGGCATCGTTGAGGAAAAGGGATTGTTATCAGAATTGATGTTAAAAGTAAGTGGCAGAGAGAAATGGTAGACACCAGACACGCTGTCAGGGAAGCCAAGGCAGACACTTCCTCTCATCTGCAAACATCCAACCCATTGCTTCTCCACTTAGTGCACCAACTATCAAATCCACATCTCTCCATCTCTCCAGAGAATGAAAGTGCCCCTTCATGTCCTCACCTTATCCCCTCACAACAAAGATTGCCATTCTTCCTTGGCTACCTGAGACTACCATAAAAATGGTTATGTAGAGGCAAAGGTTGGGATGCTGTATGAACTGTAAGAACTCTGAAGGGAGAAATGATGTCGCTTTGAGAGAACCCTGTCAGTGCAGGCAGTACCAGGCGCTGACAGAAATTTGTGCCCATCATTTATTGAAGACATTCCACAGAAAACCTATCTGCCTGCCCCACAGAGGGGGAGCAGCCAGCGGAATCCCAAGAAGGCTTTTGGGGTCTTCAGGTCTACAAGAATTGCATTTTGACTGGAATAAGGAAAGGGCGTCTCAGTTCCTAAATGCAAGGCTCAACAAACAGAGCAGACTTGTCTAGCCGACGTCAGTTGCTTCTAAGACTTCAGCAAGGCTCCCACTACAATTCCCTTTTAATCACAATCTCTCCAGGTGCCGTACAACATCAGGAACATACTTAGGACATCGTCGTGCAATGACATTTCCCCAGAATTCTTGCTGAATGAGATTTAGCTGCTGTAACAAGGGGGGTCACTGTGCCTCCAATGGAATAGGGGCAGGTCTTGGCATCCAGCAAAGTGTGACTAGAGAGGGTTTTATTTAGCCCACTAAATCCAGTCACCCATCCCGGCGTCGCTGCCGGCCTTTCTTGAGCGGCGACAGCAGCACCACGGGCAGCCGCAGCCTGCGGGACCCGGGGCTCGGGGAGCTCTCGGGGTGCCGCGTTCCGGGGCAGCAGCACACGACCCGTTCCCGATGCCGGGTTTTCGGAGCTGTGGCAGCTCCGGGCACAGCTGGACGAACAGGGTTCGGAAGCGGCGCGCTCCACGAATCGTCTCGTAACGTCTCTCCGTGCTCTTGACTCGCTGGGGACGCTGCAGGCGGGCGGCTGGTTTCCCCTGCGCCAAAGGAGATTTCGCAGCCATTTCTCAGTTGTCCGCCTACGCCGCAGAGCCCGGGCTACGCTGCAGGACACGCAGAGCCCAAACCCCGCTGCACGAGCCCAGGCGCCCAGCACTCGCAGCCAGGAGCAAGGCCGAGTGCCGCCGGCGCAGGGCACAGTCTCGGGGCGGAGCTGGCGGCGGCGGTGGTGGGGAGGAGGCGGCGCGGGCGGACCAGAGTCGGGGCTGGCGGGGGCCAGAGCGGGGTGCGCCCGCTTCTGGACCATTGGCTTCTTTCCGACCTCGTGCACCTCTCTCCTCCTGCATGAAATTTCTGTGGAAGAAAATGGATTTTCTGAGTTTGCTGCTGCTTCTCTTCTCGGCAGTGGCTGTGAGCAGAGCCCAGGTGCAGCAGGAGCCGGTGGCAGAGACCAACGAGGGCATCGGCATCAACATCACCTGCTCACACCCCAACATACAGCCCGACGGGTACATCCATTGGTACCGTCAGCTCCCGGGCCGAGGACCCGCATTCCTCGTCAGCGCCGTTAAAGGCTTTAAGCAGGTGCCGGACCCGGAGGGGCAGCTGTGGGTGTCGGCAGACCGCCGCTCCAGCGTCCTGCGGCTCGCCCGGCCCCGGCTCGGGGACGCGGCGCTGTATTACTGCGCCGTGGGCGCACGGGAAGCGAAGCCGG